AAGGTAATTTTCTCATAGCACTGCTCTCTACTAGCAGCAGGCTTCTGTTTCCGCTTGGCATCAGCATCTGTTTGAGTCTACTGAACCATATTTTATGAAAGAGGATGTGGATATTTCTTTGTAACACATTACTCGCTGTAGACGTTTTGCTTTAATACCACAAGCTCTTTAAAAAGAAAGAAAAGAAAGAAACTCCACACACACAAAACTCAAACTGAAAAACACATCATTTAACTACACGAACTAACGGACAAATTTCAGCAAACACAAAAGCTGAGCAGGTCCAGATTAATACGATGTAGGTTTAAAAGATGTAAGTCTTAATAGTACCATGACTCTGGTGTCTTATTTTGAAAGGTACCATCTTTCTTTTGAGTTTGGACAGGCAGAAAGTAAATTGATTATTGCACATCCTTTCCTGTTTGCTTCCCTGGTCAATGACCCTTTCCTAGAACAAGCAGACCCGGTCCTTGCCTAGCAGTGTTTCATTCAGTTGAATACTAAATTATGGTCATTGCTGACCTCATTCAAAGAAGCTACTGAACAGTTAAATTTAGTATATTATTATGCTGCTACTGACTAGATGGCCAAGAGGAAAGATAACGTAATGAGCACACACACAGAAAAGAAGCACACAGTGACCTTTTGCCTACATACGCTCCACATTTATGTGAAAATAAATCGATGACAAAGGTAGAAAGCATCTCTGCTTTACTTTGTTGTTGTGTTTGTGCTGTTTTAAATGTGTTTTCTGTTTACTGATGTTTTATTTTCCTTTTTTGTGCGTGGTTAACTTGTCGTCCTAAATGTTGTATTCTGCTCGTCAAGCCTCTGTTCTTCATCCAACAGACACAGTTCAGTGACATTTACTCAGGTTACTTTCCAGATCTGTTAACATTTAGCTAGAAAAATCATTTAAACGTTGAAGGGCCCTTTCAGTAAGATGTTTATCTGCTGTCCTGCATTTGGCTCATAAAATCTGTTACAGCCTGTGCTTGTTTTAATACATGTGCAAATCATTGAATACTTATATACACACTATAATGTAATAAAGCACATCAAATTTCTAACAGAGGTCCACATTTAGCAACATGTAACAGTACATGCACAATAAATTTTCAAATAAAGCAAACCTTAAACCAGACGTCAAATTTAATACAACCATGTCCCATCACATGTAAGCGTGGACTACCTGTGCACTACCTGTACAGCTGAAGGGCTCAGAACAGAAAGTACTGTACTGTAACTGTGTAATGACATTGTAATAACACATTGTGATTGAATACACAGGGCGCACAATGCCGAGGTTGGGGCCATATTTGACAGGTAATTACCCCACTACACAAACACTTTCCTTGAACCCCTCCTCTTTAAGTCTACCTTAAAACAAACAAACAAACAAACGACGTGGAAACGTTGATGCTGTTAGATTTTCCTGCAGCCTTACAGCTGCAAGCCAGGTTCTTACAACAGGATACAAGTCTGAACATCACCTACTAAAAATTGTAAATGATCGGCGTACTGTCAGACACCATGTGTTGTTTGTGGCTTTGAATGCATCCTGTCACTGAATGTTTTGCACTTTGGCACTTCATTTTCTTAGAGCATAAGGTATATTTAGGTTAGATGACTGCAGAGTGAAACTAAATGTGTGGACTGCCTTTGTGAACAGCAAATACTGTAT